CTAAACCCAAAGCCAGCAAATAATAAAGATTAGGGCAGAGTTAAATAACATAGAGAACAGAAAACAACAAAGAAATTCAGTAAAACCAAAAGTTGGTTCTTCAAAAACATCAACAAAATTGGCAGACCTTTAGCTAGACAGACTAAGAGAAAAAAAAAAGTGAGACGACTCAAATCATTAAAAACAAACAGTGAGTGTTGACAAGGATGTGGAGAAATTAGAACTCTGCACTGCTGGTGCGAATGTAAAATGGGACAGCTGCTGTGGGAAACAGTATGGTGTCTCCTTAAAAAAATTAAAAATAGAATTACCATATGATTCAGTAACTCAGCTTCTAGGTGTAACCAAAAACCTGAAAGCAGGGTCTCAAAGAGATATTTGTATACCCATGTTCATATCAGCATTATTCACAATGGCTAAAACATGGAAGCAACACAAGACCATCGGTGGATGAATGGATACACAAAATGTGGTACAATCATACAATGGAACATTATTCAGCTTTAACAAGGAAGGGAATTCTCCAATATGCTACAACACGGATGAACCTTGTGGACGTTCTGCTAAGTGAAATAAGCCCGTTACCAAATGACAGATACCGTTGCCAGGGGCTGGGGGCAGGGGAACGGGGAGTGGGTGTTTAATGGGCACAGACTTTCAGTTGTACGAGATGAAATGAGTTACAGGATGGATTGGTGGAGACAGCTGCACAACAGTGTGAATGTATTTAATACACAGAACTGGACAGTTAAGATGGTAAGTTTTATGTTATGTGCATTTTACTGCAAGAAAAAAGACATTGAAAACAAGTCAGTCAGAACGCCACTGAGCTGTACACTTGAAAATCGTTTTAGGTTATGTGAATGGCTCCTCAGTAAATATAACATTTTTTAAAAGACAAGTCAAAACAACCATTTTTTAAAAGTGAGTGAGTCAATATCTTTCCTAAAACCATAAAGGAAACCCAACGTTCGACCAAAGTAGAAGATTCAGTAGAAGATTCAGCACCGGGTCCTCCCTCCTTTGCAGCCTCCAGGTAAGGTGTTCACACTCACGTGTGCACAGTCCCCCCACCCTCCGCAGGCCCTGCCTGCTTGGGGACAGTGGCGGGAAAGCCCCAGGCTGCAGCAGACACGGCTGCAGCTGCACTTACTGTGCGTGGGGCTGCACAGTGACTCGCCTGGGACACGCTCCCCGTTTCAGGGGACAAGTCAGGGTTATTCTGAAAGATCTCCAGGACATCCTCAAGCCATCTGTATTTCCAAGTGCTAGGAAGTTTCAATTTATATAATTTTCAGAATAAGCCAAGGCATGGTACTTTTGTTTCAAGTACAGAAATTCAGGGCCGGCCGAGTGGCACATTGATTATAAGTTGGCTTAGGACGCCAGCTCTGAGCAGCAGGGCCCAGGTTCGGATCCCACATGAGGGCCAGTGACGCTGCGCCCTCTACAGCTAAGATGCTGAACAACAGCTCAACCTGGAGCTGGGCTGCCATGAGTCGCTGGCGACGGCATAGGCTGCAGCGGAGCTGCAGTGGGCTGCCATAAGCTACCGTCAGTGGCTGGCAGCCAGCATGAGCTGCCAAGAGCCTCCATGAGCGGCCGTCCAATGGCCGGCGACCGATCTGCCTCACCCAGGAAGAGCGCAATGATAATACCAACATGGGCCAGTGAAGTAACGTCCTCCACAACTAGACTGAAGAACAAAAGGACAGCAACTTGTCTGTTCCCCTTCCCTGATTGCCCAACACTGTTCCCCTCCACCAATTCCCCAATAAAATCTTAATAAAAAAAAAAGAAATTCAAAACATGGAGGTCCTGGGCACCTAGACCAGTTCTTCACACATAGTAAGCACTCGAATCTGTTATATAAACTTGTTTGGTTCAAAGAATAACACAAGTACATAAATAATACATCTTTACCCCATAGAATTTGGGAGAGGGTTACTTTGCTACCTGTCTCCCAAAAAAAAGACTGTTTTGACTGCTGGCAGTTGGGGGCGGGGGAGGGGCTACACTTACTTTGACATTCAAATGCAGCAAAAGACACTGGGTCTGGTTATTTTTACAGCTGCCTTCACTCCAAGTTGCTCTCTTAGGTTCTAGGGAGGTTCTGCTTTATCGACTTGATTCAATCAGAAAAACGTCTGTGGAGCCCATGCTTGCACAGCTCGCAGCATTTCCAAATGGACAGCACTGTCCCCACATAGCCACATTTCTGGGAAGGAAGTTCTCTGGATGGGATGAACTACTACGTCCTTTGGCCCTCCACAGACAACCCAAAGACAAATTACAAAGGCTTTTGTCGTTCTGGCTAACTATTGAAAAAGGATGCAAACATTTCACAACAGGTTAAAAACAAGGAGTGTGCCTGCCTCCTCAAAACTGTTTTCTAGATTGTTCCTAATACCACCAAAATACTCAGGACCAGGTAAACTCCCTCAGGCTCAGGTGACGGGGTACAAAGTGGATACATATTAGTGCAGATGGCCGCTCGCGATCGAAGCAAACCACTTAAAGATGAACAGTTTCACGAAGCAGCCGAGGAGGCCGAGGCTTTAGCGCCTGGTCGGAAGGCTGCGCAAAGTTACACAACGGCCAGGAGCCTGGCCTGTGCTGGTCCCTCGAGCGTTAGCCATGAAGAAGCACAAGATGAAGGGGCCAGGCCGGACCAGCCTCAGAGCAGGTCAGTCAGAGACCAGCTGCCCCGCTCACGGACAAAGACTTTGTTCCGCAAAAAAGTGTATTTTCTGACTTCTCTATTTCTGACAAAGTAAGATACTTAAGAAATGTACACCCATTAAGAAATGGGTATTTGATGATATTGAGAAATTCATTGTGGTTTTCCGGTGTGAGGATGGTATGACGTTTTTAAGCCCCTACCCTTTGGGGGTACACGCTGACCTACTCACAGGTGACGTGATGCGATGCCCAGGATGTGCTCTAAGCTGTCCTGGGAGGAGCGGGTGGGCACAAGAGCTGAGACGGAACCCACCAGGGCTGGGGACTCCTGAGGCTGGCGATCGGCACGCTGGGCTCCTCACGTGCGTCTCCCTACCTTTATACCGGAAATGTTCCATAGTAGAAAAAGTTCTTAAAACGGAAATGTACGTGCCAAAATGTTTACAGTAATCAAAACAGATGCAATGGTGACCGGAATTTGCTTCAAAATAAGCAAAATGGGTTGTGGGAGACGGTTTCAACAATAGGACTATGCACAAGGTTGAAAAGCACTGAAGTTACATGGGGCACATTTTACTGTCCAGTCTGCTTTTGTTTATATTGAAATTTCTATCAAATAAAGTTATTAAAGGACAGAAAAGGGAGAAAAAAATTGCAGTTTGGATGCGGTTAAAGAATGATGCTCCGCAAGCATGCTGGGTGCGACCTGTCCCTCCCTGGCCTCGCAGGGGGGCCCCTGGCTCGCGTTCCCACAGTCACACAGACCCTCCTGGGGGGGACGAGAGCCCACGCCGGTCCCAGCATTTTGTTTTCTCTGCCAACATCTCAACCTGCTGGTGACGGGGATGTTCGATCGGGTGTCACCCACTGACGCCTGACCCCTCTCCTTGTCCCACCCAGCAAGGAATTTGGGTGGAAAATCATTTCACACACCGAAACATTTCCTTTCCAGATTACACGGAGGAAAGTGCGCTGGGAGACAGTAAGATGGAGCCCAGCGTTCTGTGTTAAGATAAACCTCCACATCAAAAAGAACTGATGAGCTATTACACAGCCGCTTTCCAAAAGCTCCGTGAAGCACGCCGAAATCACCCGCCACCAGTGAAGCATTTCAATAAAGAATTATTAAAAAGTGATAAAGTGTCACCCAAGACAGATCAGTTTCAGCATGCGGGCTTTATAATCGCAAGCAAATGATAATTAAGTGATGGAGGGGACATTAGCTAAAGGTACATGAGGAATGGAGGGCTGTGTGGGGCCCCCGCCGAGGCGCCAGGCCCATGCTGCACTTGGCTGGCGCCCTCCGAAGCCCCACAACCCCCGACGACAGCCCGGGGCGCCACTCCTGAGCCCATGCCTCCTCCCCCAGGCACAGCTCGCAGCCCCAGAGGCCCCACAGCCCTGGTGACGGCCCACACCTGGCCCAGAGTGCCCGCCCCACGCAGCCAGGGGCACTCACGCAGAGTGACGTTTCAGCTGACTTTTCTGGTGATAAAGACAGGAAAGCAGAGCGTCAGCAGAAAGACGGTGCCTGTGGGTTCGCCCATAATCAGAGTACCTGCCTCGCCACATGTTCACCTAATAGGACCCTGCGTCACACCGACCTGCGGCGTGGACATCAGAGAGGTCAGTTCGCCGTTCCCGGAGCAGATCGGAAATTCAGCGGCCTCTGCGCCCAACACCCCGTTCTCCTTAGGCTCACCCCCCAACTGCTCTCAGCTCTTCTGCTCGCTCCCGGGCCACACAGCAACGCGGGCAGACCGACCCCCACGGAAGGCGTCTTATGCGCCTTTTTCCAATTTCTAATTGACGTGTTGATATTTACTCTTTCAAAAAGAAAAATAAATCTTAAGCACAGCATGACTGGGGTTTTCCAAAGAATCTACATCAATGATGTCGAGGCCTTCTATTTCTTCCGGCTGAATCCTACACATTCTCACTCTTACGTATGATACAGCCACGTATCGAGTTCATTGTAAGAGGCCATTCCTCACTTATGCAGATGGAGTCAAGCCTTACTACGCTTAATATCATATGAAAAATGTATTAAAATGGCCTCGTTTTTCAAAATAATTATCAGTTCGATGCTATCATGACGCATGCCTACTGAAATCCTTATTACCCTCAGCCAGCAGGACGTACTCTTGCCAGAAAGATGGGGAATGATTGTAACAATGCTATCTCTAGGAAGAAATGGTTTCTAGAATCATATTCCACACGTGTTATCCATCTTGCTAATATAATTACATTGCATTTAATGGGAAAATGTTAATGGTGACTATTAGTTGGCGAGCCCACCGCCAGGCGGTGGCACTTACGTTGCCGTCCACGGCGGAAGGGCTGTTAAACACGTACTCCAGCTGGAAGACGATGGCGAATGCGGGGTGACGGACCATCTCGGGGAGTCGGAGGCGGCTTCTCAGAACAAGAGCCTGGCTTCCGGAGCTGGGTCAAGGACACAAAGCAGGGGCCCATCAGGCAGAGGCTCGGGCTTCCCAGTGCCCACCCACCACCACCAAGGCAGGCGCTGGGCACGGCTGTGCAGCGAGTCCCCCTCCACTGAGCTCGTCTGCGTTTGGCCCCCAAGGTAATTCCCCAAACCAGAGCCTTTTTTAGGTGCCACAATCAATACTCTCTCCCAATTGACAGGGCTTGTGTCAGTCAGCAGGACGGAATGGTCCCACTAGGTCTCCAGAAAGTCCCCACCTCCAGGGCCGGCCTCTGCCCAGCTTTGTACGTGATGCCCCTCGGAGATGCCTCTGGTTCTGCCCTGGGAGACACGGGGCTGAGAAGGGCGGCAGGGCCTAGTGCCCTCTGGTTCTCCATCGTAGGAGAAAAGGAGGGCAGGGCTCATCCGGAGGAGGCCATGCCAGGTCCCCACAGACCCTCAGCAGCCGTGGCTGGAGTTAATGCTAACCCCAAAATGGTCACAGCACAGAAACAGGATTTTTCCAACCTCACAACACTGAGGTGTGCCCCTAACGGCTGCCCCTCAGCCAGAGGAGACACAGGCCCCAGGGAAGAGCTCCAGGTGGGTGAGTGCCACCTCACATGCAAGAAGGACTGCATGTCGCTTGGGTCCCCGGTGATGTGCCCACGGGGGCCGGGACTAGGGACCTTGGGGAGAATACCTGGCCTTCGAGGAGGAGCCGACTTTCCTGCTGAAGCTGGCGGAGCGCGACAAGGCCACCTCCATCTCGGGCACCAGCACCACGACCTGCGGCCTCTGCACGAAGCCCAGACCATTGTGCACGCCCACATGCAGACGCCGCTCCAGGACCTCCAGGGTGCCGGCGTCCAGCGGGCTGTCCGCCTAGAGAAAGTACGCGTCAGACAGAACCTGGCCCTGGGCAGAGGGGAGGGGAGCTCGCCGGCTAAGTTCCCAGTGGAGCGGCAAGCAGAGAGGAGGCTGTCACAGCAGTTTCAGACCCTTCCGGATCAGATGGCGTTTAGTGAGAATGAGTCCCAGCTAATGGCAGATAAGTCAACCAGCCTTAGGGCATGTCCTAGGCAGTCTGGGGTTTGCTCACGTAGCATGGTCTTCTCAGAGCAGTCACCCCAATGCACTCCCTCCGAGGCCTGATCGCCACACTCTTGCCCTAGGTTTCCAAGGTTGAGGAACGTTCTCAAGATGCAGCAAACTAGCAGCCAGGGACCTCGGCTCCTCCCATGGGACCAGGGGCTCAGGTGCAGCCCCTGCCGCCCACACGCAGGAGGCGACCACGGAGGCGCCTGGAGGAGGGAGGCCAGGCTTCGCCGCCTCTGCCTTCCACTGCTCTGACACTGGAGACCTGGGGCAGGCCAGGCAGCAAGAAGAGGGGGCATATACAGGCTGCAAGTCAGAAACCAATAAAAATGGAGTCTGCCCCAAAGTGATCCCGGATATTAAAGTGTTTCATCTTAACAAGAAATGTGCAGGCACTCTTAACAAATGAGCAAGGACATTCCTCCGGGCTATTCCTGTTTATTAAATTACATGATCATTGCAAAATGATCCCTGAATTTTCAAGTTTTCTTCATTGCCCATTAATCAAGCCGAACGAACCTGAATTCAGCCTATTAGTCCTTTAGTAATGAAAATAAAACAGTGGAGATGACTGAGTATCTGCCAGTTGGATAGGACTAAAATTACGAAGATAGTAAAAATACATAATAAAGTGATTTTATGGGGATGTATAAAATTCAACAATGATGCTCTTAAAGCATCTCGACCCACACACCATCTACTCTGAGCAACAACGGAACAGCAGGAACTACACCAAGGAAACGTATGTTGCCATTTCAATCCTCTTCTCTGCTTTGTGTTTCTGTTTCATGTGAGACCACGTTATGTAAAACTACATTTTCAAGAATGGATAGAAAGAAAAAAAAATTTCCATCTCATTTGTGTCTGTGTGTGTAATTAATAATTTGCTAACTGCACAGACTCCTAGGATGAGCACCAACTGACTGAATTGTTCAATCTCACGACAAATAAATATTAAAGACCTAATGTGTGCCGACACTGTTTTATGCACATTAGGTGCAGTGCTGAACCAAACCACGTCCCTGTCTTCAGGGTGCAAATACGCCAAGAGGGACCAACAACAAACCCATCCACAGGTAAGGAAACCAGGTGCTCCCAGGTAGGGCCAAGCCCCTGGAGAGACTCAGCAGCGAGCTGGGGCCTGCTGGGGAGGAGGGAAAATGCCACCTGAGCAGAGGCAGGGCGCCCAGCAAGGCAGGCAGGTTTGCACGGATATCTGAGGCCTCGGAGGCTCCTGCACGGACCTGGATGAAGATGGTACAGGAAAGTGAGCTACGTGTTCAAAGGGCGCAGGTAGGGACGAGGCGCCGGCACATCCACCAAGGCCCTGCACACACTGGCTTTCAGTTGAGGAGTTTACAATAAAGGAACATGTTCACACAGGCAGGCTGAACCTGACAGCTTCAGGGGGAGCGCCTTTCCCAGAAAACTGCTTTCATGAGGTAAAAGGATTGAGACTTCTAGTCATCTCCTCAGCATGAGCCGAATATCCTCAAAATGTCCTTTGTAGATGTAGATTATTTTATGGATTTCCCTACGCTCATTTGGTGACTTAACTTACTTTTAAATGAGGACTATTTCAAGACATATCAAAATTAATGTTAACTAAGTCTCAGGATCACCGAACCTTCGTCACCATCAAAGCTAAGAAAACAGGCTAGTGTGTCCCTCTGCAGCCACAAAGACGGAAAAGACAGGACCAGTCACCAGAGGCTGGACTGCCCACCTCGGCAGCATCAGAGACTTGGCCCTGCACTGGAGTCTCTCCACTGCTCAGGTTAAGTTCTGTGACAGGGGACAGTACCTCCCGGAAGCGATCGCTGATAAGGAGTTCCAGAAGCTCTTCCTCAAATTTCTCCAGGGAAGGATACAGCGTGAAGAATACATCGTCCAAGTACCACGTGACCGCCTTCTGAAGTCGGGGCTTTCGGAGGGCGTCACCTGAAATGACCAGAGGGCTCAGGTAGGTTATTCGTGGAAACGCAACCACCAGACGCATCCGAGGGCTCTCACCATCCGAGGTTCAGGCCGTGGTGACGGGACCTGCAGGCAGAGAAGAAAGCTGGGGCACCCCACTCAGACCGGACCCTGAATCAGAACCCACCTCGGTTCAAGCCCAGACGCTGAACTGATTCAAGAAATGCAACTTTTCATTTGAGGTCCAAATTGTACCCCAAACTTCCTCCAGGAACAAATGTTATAATCGGCAAGCCAAACAACACAGATCGCAGAGTGAAAAGTACCATAACATCCATCCCCTTCGGCTTAGCTCCTCTTTACCACTTCCTCTCTGGCAAGAACACAGCCAACGAAGCCGTTTCTCGTTTGATCACGTTTACCTTGAGCCACCTGGAAACGTGCAGGAATCCTCATGAGCATGTTAAGGCAAAAACACAGTCTGGGCTGACACCCCAGGAGAAAGTCCCTGTCCTGCTCGAGAAGAGTCCCCGGACCGTGAGCTCCGTGACAACAGGAGGGGACAATGGCTCCTGGCACAGCTCAGGGCCCAGCACAGAGCAAGCGCATGAAAACTCTCGCCATGAGAGGGGAGAATCGCCTATTTAGAGAGGGCTGCTGCGTGGGCTGTGGAACCGGGGCCAACACAGGAGGAAGCCAGCAAAGCCAGCCGCTTCCAGAAAACACACATTCCTGTCACTGGAACCTGGCTCTGGTCCTCTGTCTCTTCTGGAGTTTTTACGTAGGGTCAAGGTCTTGGATTGGAAAAGCCAATTCCAAAGTTAAAAAAAGAAAACAACTGAGATAAGGTTCACTGACGGGGAAACTGCAGTGAAAAGAACACACTGCTGTCCAGCCGGAAGGTTGTAAGTCAGAACAGCGGAAAGGCAATTTTCTCTTTTGCCTTCCTATGTATCGAGAGCCTTAAAAATATCCATATCCACCTTCTGCCCCAGTAATTCCACTTTTTGAACCTATTCAGCAAAATAAGCAAAGTAGTCACTGGAACATTATTCATAATAGAGAAAAATAAAAAACAACCAAATGTTCCAAAATAGGGAAATTTAAGTAAGCTGTTCATCCATATAAAATGAGAACAAAAATCATAGTGTCAAAGATTATTTAATGATTGAAAAATAATCATGATACTGTAGATGAAAAAATATAAAACTGTATATTAGCTCATTTGATGCCAATTTTATTTAAAAATATATGTATTGGGGCCAGCCAAGTGGCTCAGTTGGTTAAGAGTTAGCTTAAAAGCGCGAGCTCTGAGCAACAGGGCCGCCGGTTTGATTCCCACATAGGCCAGTGACGCTGCGCCTGAGCTGAGCTGTCGCTGAGCTGCCAACAGGTGGCAGGATGGCTCAGCTGGTGAGAGCACATACTTCTAACAACAAGACTGCATGTTCAATGGTGGGCTATGCCCACCAGCAACTAAGACTGAACTCGGCACTTTGAGCTGAGCTGCAGCCCAGATGGCTCAGTGGATAGAGTGCACGCTCTTAACAACAAGGCTGCTGGTTCGACTCCCGCATGGGATGGTGGCTACACCCACCCGCAACTAAGATTGAACACAGCACCTTAAGCTTAGAGGCCATGAGCTGCCAACGGACAACCAGATGGCGACTGGCGCCCTCCACAACGAAGACTGAAGGACAACACCTTGGCTGGTTCCCCTCCCCAACTCCCCAACACTGTTCTCCTCTCCCAATTCCCCAATTTAAAAAAAATAAAAATAAAGAATACATGTATTACATGTATACATGTGTATCTGCAGGCAGTAATCATGAATTATTTTATTTCTTCATGGTTTCCTACACCTTCCCTACCACAAATATGCATTAGATTTGATGCTTCTGAGTAAGTTTATGTATCCTTTCATAATTTTTTTTAACAACAAATCTTCAATTTATTTGAAGCAATTTGGTTTCAAAAACTTTAAGTTGCAGCAATCACAGAAAAAACCAGGAACAGTAGAAACAATAAAAGAACAATCAGGAGTACTGTATTTTTGTTTGTTTTTAACACTGTCATGGCTTTATTCAAAACACAGTTGCACGAAAGTATTAACTTCAAGTTTTTATAAGAAGAGTTTTAAGGAATTTAACACACTACATACATACTGCCATACAAAGAGCATTAAAATAGGACCAAAAACTTCTACAAAATATAAGGCCTAATCTACCCTTACTTATTTGAATGAAAATACCACCCACAAAGCTAAATAAGTTTTAAAAAGTTATTCAGAGGCTCTAAATGTTATTTTCAAACCAAAGAACTCTAATTTTGGTTGCACAATAAGATGATTGATAAGAAAGTCAATATACAGATTTAATTTTAAAAATAAGTCTTTTATAATCTGGCATACTATGCAATGAGAATTCTTCAGGACTAAAACAGGGCATTTCAATTGTTAAAAAGGAATAAAATGTTAGCTGTTTGGAGATTCTAATCCCCCCACTAAACTTATCCCAAGAGTTTTATTTCAGTCAATTGTGTAATTTTTTTTAGTTTATACACAAAAAGCTTTCTAATTTTAACTTTAAAACCCCAAGTCATACATTTCAAACTAAAAAAAGGAGTACTATACTCAGTAATTTAAATGTGCCCCAATGTGGAAATGTAACTTCAATTAATTTGCTAATTTAAGAAACTTACAAATATTCAAAACAAAGTGGGGAAACAATTTAAAGCGTCACGATTTAAAAAGCAATTGCCTTGAACATGGCGCCTCCACAACAAAAAGTGAGATGCACTTGTCTCCTCGTAACATTATACTTAGTAGTCATATGAGACACACACTCGCACTTATCCCAAATATGTTTCTATTTTTAATGGACATGCACTTGAAAACAAATCTTAATTTTAATATGAATTTAGTTTCAAATATTTTTCCAACTGTCTAATATAAATATTCCAATCAAATGTTGTATCTGGTAATGCTTCAAGACGATAGGAAGAATAGTTAAAGGCTCTATTCAGAAAAATTAGAAATATTCTACAGAGTGGTATCTCTATCATTTGAGAGGCTAAGTTAAAATGCTGACTTTGAATGTCTCATTAATTATCAACAGGCAATTGTTCTAACTTTTGAGGAACACTGTTGCTGCCTCCAAAAGACCTGTGCTTCTTTTCTTCCTTCATTCTACGAAGACAGTCTGCACATCTTGTCAACCAAGAAAGGTTTACAGTAAAGAGTCTGTTGCATAAAAGTGTACTGATAAGTATTATTCATATCTCAGAAAATACTCAGTTTCTCTCACTTAGCTTGTTAAAATCTGAAAAGGTGGCTGAGGTATAAGACTGAAGGTTTTCCTGGGTTTCCGTAAGTTTCCTAACTTTTTTTTTTTTTTTTGAGATAAGGGAGGAGAGTGAAACAAGAAAGGAAGGTGATCATAAAGGGATTGCTGAGAGGCAAACAAAAAACGCACACACATAAATACACAACACGGGCCGGCCGAGTGGCGCGATGGTCAAAAGCTGGCTTGGGACGCCAGAGGGCCCTGGTTCGGATCCCACATGAGGGCCAGTGACACTGCCCTCCACAGCTAAGATGCTGAACAGCAGCTCGACCTGGAGCAGGGCTGCCATGAGTCGCCGGCGACGGCGTAGGCTGCAGCCCCTGTGGCAGTGGGTTACCATGGGCTACCGTGTGTAGCCAGCAGCCAGCGTGAGCGGCCAGCAGCCGCAGTGAGTGGCCGTCCAGAAGCCGGCGACTGATCTGCCTCGCCCGGGAAGAGCGCAATGATGGTGCCAACTTGGGCCAGTGAAGCAACATCCTCCACAACTAGATTGAAGAACAAAAATGACAGCAACTTGTCTGTTCCCCTTCCCCCAATTCCCCAGCGCTGTTCCCATCCCCCAATTCCTCAATAAAAATCTTTAAAAAAAAAAAAGGTACACAACACCCGTTAGCATGTCATTGTCTTCAGCTTGAGGAACAAAGGGCTCACCGCATGTCTCTGAACTTATTATAACCAATTTTTCCTTCAAAGGTAAAATCTTAGGTTTTCAGAAGCTTCCCCGAAAGCCATGAATTATATTTTTGAATAGAACCCTTACTATTCTGCTCCTACTTTCCAAGTTACTCATGTTTGTCACATAAACCCTTAGCCAAAAAAAAGTCACTGCCCTCAAATTAAAGATCTGTGGGTCACCACTAAAAAAAACAAAACAACAAACTTATTATTCAAGAGACGACTTTCATTTCATATTCCAGCTGACTGTGATTTCAGTTAATTCATAAATAACTTTAAAAACTTATGAATGAGGGCCGGCCAAGTGGCGCATTGGTTAAGAACTGGCTTGGGATACCAGAGGGCCCCAGTTCGGATCCCACATATGAGGGCCAGTGACACTGCCCTCTACAGCTAAGATGCTAAACAACAGCTCAACCTGGAGCTGGGCTGCCGTGAGTCACCGGTGACGGCGTAGGCTGCAGTCCCCTGCTGCAGTGGGTTGCCATGGGCTACTGTGTGTAGCCGGCAGCCAGCGTGAGTGGCCAGCAGCCGCAGTGAGCGGCCATCCAGAAGCCGGTGACTGATCTGCCTCACCCAGAAAGAGCGCAATGATGGTGCCAGCTTGGGCCAGTGAAGCAACATCCTCCACAACTAGACTGAAGAACAAAATGCCAGCAATTTGTCTGTTCCCCTTCCCCGATTATCCAGTGCTATTCCCCTCTCCCGATTCCCCAATAAAATCTTAAAAAAAAAAACTTATGAATGAAATGCACCATACTACACCTGTGTAAAAGCAATCATGTTTTAATTATGGGCTAAAATGATGACTACAGTGGGCTTGTATTAGAAAAATTAAGATTGTAAATAAACTGCTAGGGAATTTCACAACTGGGCGGGGTCAATGAAAATTTTTCTCTACATATATGATCATTAACAGACTAGAAAATCTTATTTGGGATGATAAGGCAAAAAATAGTAAAACCACACTTTTCCTATAAAAGGTTATGTTATCTTCTGGAGGGATAGCTATCGTACATGAAGAATAAAAGATGTGATCACACTATTGCACACCCAGGAAACAGGGAATACGGTCTTAGAATGATGTAGTCATCTTCTTCCTCTCCGTCATCTTCAGCGTCTCGTTTCCTCTTATCCCCTCGACGACCTTCTTCCTCTTCTTCAACACAGTCATCATCGTCTTCTTCATCCTGAATTTCTTCTTTCATTAAGGACGAGAGGCCCACTTCCTCTTCTCCCTCTCCCAATTAAGAGCCTGCTTCGTCTCCCTCTTCTTCCTCCTCCTCTTCCTCATACCCTTCCCATGGACCGGCTTCCTCTTCCTCTTCCTCTTCATCATCTTCCTGATCAAATCCATCTAAGTACGTGATTTGCTGCAGCAGTTCAGAAATACTCTGTCTATAATCTTCCAGGTTTGTGATCTCACAGGTAAACAAGTCAAGACTTCAAATTTTTAAGATTTTGCAGAGCTTCTACTGTACTGAGATCTTTGATTTCGTTTCCACTTGGGTTGAGGTAGATAAGATTTGGACATTTCTCTGCCGGGAATTCCAAGCCTCCAGAAATCATACTGTCACTAAATTCCAACTTCCGAAGTTGATTTAAGCTGGGCAGCCGGGCCAGTGAACTCAGCTCCACATGCACCATATTCAGAAACTCTAAAAGTATCGTTCAGGCCCTCACTTGCCCCGTTGGCCCACAAGCAATTATCAAGGACTAACTGTGTCACCTCCTCCGGGGCTCTGCTCCTTAACTCCGGGTTAAGCCTCCTCCTCACCTCCATGTCCCGCTCCTGCTCTTCTGTTACTCTCCCCCCTTACCTGCCCTGCCTTTCCTACTACCCCCACCCCTCAAACTGTAAAAGATTTGGAAATGAATGAAAAGAAATGCAAATATAAATGCCCACCACCGCCAGGCAGGTTTGGGGAGAAAGGAGAGAAGAGTAAACGGGGTCCAAGGAGCTGGGGCTCTAACTCGGCTGCCCCCACCTCCCTGTACACACACGCGCATGCGCACTCACACACACACCCACAGTTCCTTCCCCTGCCCCTTCAATGGCTGCTCAGAAACGCCATAATTTTTTTACAAAGTGTTTATGGCAGGCCAGTTGACATGGCAGGCCAGTTGACGTGTCAGAACCAATTAAAAAGCAGCATTATTCACAATTGCCGAAAAGTGGAAACAACCTAAGTGTCCATCAACACCTGAGTGGATAGCAAAGTGGGGTCCACCACACAACGGAATACTATTCAGCCTTAAAAAGGAAGTCCTGACACATGGATGGGTCTTGAAGACATTATACAAAGTGAAACATTCCAGTCACAAAAGGACAGATACTGGACGATCCCACTTCCATGAGGTCCCCAGAGTAATGAAATTCAGAGACTGGAAGTAGGTGGGCACCAGGGGCTGGGGGCGGGAGGAACAAGGAGTGAGTGTTTGGCGGGGACAGTCTCAGCTCACAGGACGAAAAGCCATCTGAATCCCCTGAGTGGCGGGAGCCTGTGACGCGATATGGAGCCGGAACCCTCACCAGGTCACCAGAGGCCCTGCCGCTCCCGGAGCTGGGCCAGTTCACGCGTCCCCCTCCCAGGCCTGAGCAGACGTTGCTGTGGGCGTCGGCCCGGGTCAGGAGCGCTCTCAGGAGTCTGAGAGATGCTCCGCTTTGCACCAGGGCCTGACGTCACATCGCTGAGCACCACCAGGACGCCTGGCTCAGGACCCCAATCAGTGCCTTAGGGCCCATTCTAGAAAACGGGCTTCCAGCTGACATTTGTGACTCAGCTCCCACGGCAGCCGCTCACTTCATGCGAGGCTCTGCACTGGCTCCACCACAGGCTGGGCGGCCCGAGCCTTCTCCCACACGACCCACAGGGCCAAAAACTCTTTCTGGTGCCCCTTCACCCGTAACATAGGTAACAGGCAGAGCACGAGGATGGGGATCTGATGGGCACACAGATGTGTGACCCCAAGAGTGGCCGAGGAGTCCCAGCACAGGGGCGGAGGTGTGCTCCGAGCCCGGGTGCGGGACCCCCTCCTTGCAAGCAGCAGCTGTGTGAGCCACAGCATGAGACAATGACCGGGTGGTGGGGTGGGGGCTCGCTGTCCAGGCCGCTCAGAAGGGAGCGAGAGACAGAGGACGTGCGAGAGGGAGGCGGGATGGACCTCCCAGTTGCGAGAAAAAGATACTATGAAATCAGCAGCATTTCCAAACTGAGACAATTCTGAGCTTCCCTCTAAAAGCCGCTCGAGGAGAAAGGGCCGCTTCCTTCTGGGGAGTGACACAGAGCTGCCGGAACGACCAGAACTAAGAACTGTCATTTCCAGTCATTCCTGGGTGGAATAGTCCTCTTAAGAATTCAATCCTCGGGGCCAGCCAAGTGGCGCGTTGGTTAGGAGTTGGCTTGGGACGCCAGCTCTGAGCAGCAGCACCCTGGCGTGATTGAGGGCCAGTGACGCTGCGCCCTCTACAACTAAGATGGTGAACAACAGCTCGACCTGGAGCTGGGCTACCGTGAGTCGCCGGTGATGGCATAGGCTGTAGCCCCTGCTGCATTGGGCTGCCATAAGCTACCGTGAGTGGTGGGCAGCCAGTGTGAGCTGCCATGAACCGCCGTGAGCGGCCGTCCAGTGGCCGGCGACTGATCTGCCTCACCCGGGAAGAGCGCAATGATAATATCAACATGGGCCAGTGAAGCAACATCCTCCACAACTAGACTGAAGAACAAAAGGACAGCAACTTGTCTGTTCCCCTTCACCGATTCCCCAGCGTTGTTCCCCTCCCCTAATTCCCCAATGAAATCTTTAAAAATAATAATAATAATCAAGCCACTGATGTGGTTGTCCAGTAAGGCGGAGATCTAGCGACAGTGGCTTTCCTGGCCACAGTCATCAAAATATCAAGTACTTTTCTTATGAAAGCATTTCCCGAGGAAAGAAGACAGAAGAAATTGAGGGACCTTGAGGGAGGTGAGACACGGCTCAGGAAGGGATTACAGCCTCCCACCCCCAACCTGCCCCCGCTGCCAGGCTGTTGGCTAAAAGGTGCCAGCCACACTCGCTGGCACTCCCCCTTAGAGCCCAAATCCTGTGAGGTCTGACCATGAACCAAGGAACTCACCAAGTGGAGAGAAGCAAAGCTGCCCTTACCCATTTCTCCATGAGCTGGAAGGAGGCCAGGTATATGCTGCAAACCAGACACCAGAAGGTTCTCAGGCAGGAGGTGGAAGGCTGGCTCCAGGAGCGGGTGTGGCCTCAGGCTGAACTGCAGGCTGCAGCTCTCAATGAGGGTCATGTGCTTGTTTTCTGGGGGAGAAAACGCCGTATGTGACAGCTGAGACCAAAGGCACCTTTGGTCAAGTCAGCCAATAAACTGAGAAACTTAAGACATAACCACCAAAAGCAGGCAACATTTTTCTAGGGAGACAGGGAATTACTGTTAGTTCAAGCCAAAAAGTGGGGGGGGGGGGGAAATCAATCCTTAATAACTCTCTCTGGTAAAACTGCAACAAAAGAGGTTTGTTTTAATGCAACATAACAAAATCTCCGGCGCTCCGCGGAGCAGGGAAGCCCGGGCATCCCTCACCCGTGATCAGAGGGCGGCTGGGAGGCACTCTGGCCAGGGGCTGCCCCCTCTCAGCCTCGGCACTTGCTTCCGTGGAACCCCACAAAGCAGCAGGACCAGGCACTGGGGGGGCAAGGCCTCCTGCTGGGGCCATTCTGGGTGACAGCTAAGACCCAATACGCCAATATCCATAACATGGGAGAACGGGATAGGATCCAAAGCCCAAAAAAGGTTCAGGTAACGCGCTGGGACAGCGGGAGAAGGGAGGGGGTCCTGGAGGAGCTCAGACACGGAGCCCAGGGGAAGGTGGAGGGAACAGCTCCATCCACAGAACTTGGGGCGCAGGAAGGGACACACCCCACAATCACAGGGCCTGAGGTTGAGAGGGACCAGACGTGCCTTCTGCACATTCCCACAAACAGGCGATCTTGCTTGGGCTTGATTTCCTCCACTGACAGGGACCTCAGCACCTCCTCAGGCAAGCTATGCGGTTTCATAAGAGCTAAATATGACTCACCGCATTTGCTAGAAACAGAAGTTAATGAAAACTGTGGTTTTAATGCCTAACCACTCCAAATGTGAGATCTGCTTACTCTAAAATGTAAGATGCCCTGAAAGGCACTTTCCCACGTGGCTGGATGGAGAGCAAACTGGTCCAGCCTCTGTGGAGAGCACACAGGAGAAATGCCACAGAACTGTCTGCACAGCCCTGGGCCCAGCAGCCCCACTTGTGGGAATTCACCCTGGACCCGCTTGCACACGTGCAAAGGGCCAACGACGTCCAGCGCAGCAAGCCTTTGTTCTCACAGAAGGAAACACCCAAGTATCCACTGTCAGGACTGACTCCTTCACACACAGCAATTCCACCAAATACCACACAGCCATGAAAAGCATGAGGGGGCTTCGATGCACTGACGGGAAACATCCCCCAAGATAAGTCGTTACAGGACAGAACCACGGTCTGGGACAATGAGTAACGGGGGCAAAAGTAAGACTCGGGGCATGTGCGTCTGCTTCTGTGTTCGGCAAAGACCCTGGAAGGACCGACGGGAATCAGAGAAGTCACCTGGGGTACAGGCGAGAGAGGTGAGTGGTGGGGGCTCAGAAAGGAGACCCCACTCTGAAGCTTTTTATACTTTTTGAACTCTGAACCAGGCGAATCTTCACCCATTCAAAAAGACACCCATAAAGTTTTGGAGGTGCCAGCTGAGGAGATGAGCTCACATCGCAGCCCCGTGGCTGGGCCTCCTTGCACACATTCACAGCCCCCACGGACACTCCGACTGTACCCGAGAATCACAGACGTGCTGGTCACAGTCCTAAGGATACCTCGGGGGGAAGATGCTAGCAAATTAATGATTAAATTCAACCGAGAAATAACCTAAAAGCCAATCTTTATCAATAAAATTAAGTTTCTGACTAACTGTTCCCCTCTCAAAATTCAGCAGGGAGTGAAGGGGATGGGGTTGATTTAACTTTTTCACACAGGCTATGTGGCAAACACGAAATTCCTATCACAGAATCCAGGCAATATCTCGAAGAGGCGGAAAGTCACCCTCCCAAACAGATCCCCACTCCCACCCGTCAGCACCGATCTCCGCCCTGGGCCTCCAAAATGACCTGTCCACCCATCCCCGCTTCCACTGGTGCCCCTCCTGTCCATCCTCCCCTCGGCCACAGCCAGAGTGGGCCGGCCACGCCCCCCTCCCGACTGGCACCCTCCAGACAGGCACCCCAGCTGCTCTAAGGCAGGCCCCTCGGCCGCTGGGCATCATGGAAGACAGGAGCCCAGAGCTTCCTCAACACGGTGGGCGTTCCTGCAGATCATTCTTCAGGAAGGCACAGCCGGAAGGCCTGCTGTGGCCAAGGTAACCACTGGGCTTCACGGTCAGTGGTTTCCTGCAACAGCCGGCGCCCAGTGATAGAACAACTTCACTGGCGGGCAGAGCTGTCATCCTGGAGGCGAGAAGGGCAACAGCCCCCCCACCAGGCGGCTCCCACAGGGCCACACCTCTGCCACAGTCACAAAGCAGTGTCACCTGTCAGGCTTGTGTGTTTCAACTCTTTAAATGACGTCAAAAACTCAAGCCCGTGATACACTTTGCCCAAATCTATTAAATCGATTAGCTAAGCTGGCGCTGTTTCCCCAGGCGGAAGTGCAAGTGGGTACTGCTCAGGAGAGCGGTCAGACGAGGACAGTCAGGCCGGTCCCTTACGTTCGATGGGGTCCTGAAGCAGTGGGTGCAGCAGGGCTCTGGGGGTGCCGTGGTACAGTCGCAGCCTGCAAAACAAGACCCGCAGACACACGTCACCTGTGCACATCTTGCTTCAGTCACTAAACCCACTCTTCTTCTCAAAAGGAAAGTGTGGGAGGGCCCCCAACGCCATCACACCTCCCAGAGCTTTCTAACTGCCACCCAATCACGTCCTTTGCAGAACACAGAGGCTTCCCACCCCTGTGCCCCTGGCCAAGCACCCCAGCACACGTCCAGCTCCGTCCTAACACAGCCCAAGGACCTAGGCCCTAGGGAGCAACGCCAGGGAGCTCACTCATGCGCCGAAATGTCCCAAGAAAGACCACGTTTGAGCAATTTCCAGAGCAGTGCTTCTCCACCGGGGACAAGTTTGTCCCCCAGGGACATTCAGTCCAGTCTGGAGATACTGTCACCTTGGGGGAGATGCCTTGGCATCCAGTGGGTGGAGGCCAGGGACGCTGCTATGTACACTCATAGGACGGCCCCACAGCAAAGACCTATCCAGCCCCAAATGCCTTGGCTTACTTAGAAAATGAAGCAAACCCAATTCCAACTTGAAGAGAAACTATCCCCCAGTACACCGTTATGAACACACAACATACGCTGACAAGCGTAAAGCTTTCTGTTACGGTCAAATGATGAGCAGAGAAATCCACACAGAGAAACGCTGGGAAAGCCCAAAGACAGAGAGAACCAGGCAGGTACCGTTTGTCCTCGGAGGCAGAGGTGGAGGTGGGAGAGTCCGGTTTGTTGCTGAAGATCCGAAGAATTCCAAACCCACAGGACAAGGTTTGGAGGGTCCCATCCCTTTTCCTTCCTTCAGCGACCACTTCCACCACAGCCACGATGGTAGGGTGGGTTAAGGAGGTGTGAAAATACACGGGCTGGAAAACAGAAATCAGACGCCAGGTGACGGGCTGGAGGGTCACAGCCTGTAGAGCAGGAGACAGAACAGGACACAGCTGCGCTCCCCCTGCACCCCTGCACCATCGCCACAGAAACACCACAGGCACGCCGCACCCCTTGCAGGACGCCCGAGGAGACCACAGACATGGTGAAGTGACTCCCTTGGGGTCGCAGCTTCTCATCCCGGAGCGCCTAACAGCCAGGACAGCAGGCTACTGCTTCTGCCCAGGCATTCTCCATCGACAAAAAATGCCACCAGACGCCAGGTTCTCTAAAGCAGGAGCTGGAGGGGCCAAGCACTGCACGCCGCCACCAGGCAGGACCCCCGTTAAATAAGACACAGACAGGCCAAGTCCATGGCAAACACACATCTGCTGAGCCATTTTATGTAGCACTCGCTGTACAAAACGTCCATCACAGCCTGCCAATATTGACTCTAAGTCCTGTCCTTTCTATGTGACTATTACTTAGTCGCATCTGAACTCATTTTGTTTAAGCAGGACCCTTACACAATTATCTCCAGTTCAGAGCGCAACTAACATCTTGTTAGGACAAAAACTGCCTTGAGATTATTTTCCTACAAGATTTTTTGGGACCCAAGCCAAGCAGATGATATTTAAATTGTTCTTGAGAGGTTTTCCACGCGTAACCTTCCCAGTCCCTAACATGCAAATGGCAGCCTTGGGCTCTCACCAGAGAAAGACAGCACAGGTGAGTCCAATCCATCTCGTGGGAACGAAAGCACCTTCACTCTGCTGCTGTTTTCTATTTCGATGCAGTTGCTTTTATTTAAAACTAGTAAACACCACAGACACAGGAGACAGACACAGAGGTTTGGAAAGTGACAGGGAACAGCGACCACGGGAGCTCAGCCGTGGCTCTGGGCTCAGCGTGGTCCTGGAACCCAGTCTGTGGTGGGAGCAAAACACAGGTGTAGAGTCACCAGCTGAGCACAAAGACCACCCCTGCCTCAGGGCAGGAAGAGGTAAGGCAGGCCAGGTGGGGCTACTGCAAGGTGATTTAAACTTGGAATAATCCCCTGTTAACGAGTCATTACCATGGTGTCACCCAGAAAACGTTTACTGTGATCACAGACTGTCAGCCCAGGATAATAGAGAGACACATTAAAACATCAGCCATAAGATATAAATCGTTATTCTATTATCTTTTATTGCAAAATGATGAAATAATGACCACTAACAGCTGACAGGTGGTTGGACCAAGGGAGAATTATGTTTCCGTATCCAGGACTCAAGACTGCTTTTAAAGCCCCACTGCGAAGCCGAGTTTGTCATTGTCTCACCTTTGGTATCTGTACCTGTGCACGTGGGTTTATGAGTACCTCCCACTCTTCCTTTCGGCAGTGAAACAAACACTTTAAACTCTGATGCGAAGCAAACAACCATCCCCGCAGTTTAGAGGTCACCTTGAAAGCGGTGTACCTGCCGGCAGTGGGACGGGCTGCTCTGGCACGCCCCAAGGACAAGTTAGGACGCTTGCCTCTCCCTTTCATTTACCACCGAAAACAATTATTCTGAGACAAAACAAGCACAGCGGAGTCCCATCGGTGTCTGTCTCCAGGGACTCCACTCTAAGCGGGAGGGACAGCCCCTAGAAGCGCAGCACACGAAAGGCCACCCGAGGTCGGGTGGGTGTGATCCTGTTAACCCCTGATCGGTGAGGCTGCTGTGCTTTTCCAATCATCACTTACTGACCCTCCAGGTGGGAAAAGCACCATGCTAACAAATTCCTAAGGAACCTGGAAAACACGATTCAGCCCTCAAGAAGTTCCAAGTTCAAAGGTAAGAGCTAGGTTAGGCAGGTACAAAATGCACACTCTGCTCAGGACGGAAAGCTCAGAGGCCTTGTGGAGGTAAAGGCCTCCCAGGGATGAAAACGGTGCAGCACCCATCCTGCGTCACCGGACGGGGCATCCCCAGGAGGCTCACCTGGTACCGAGGCACCATTCCCACCTTACAGCAGACACATGGGCTCAGCCAGAAACCTCCATCATGCTCAGCTGAGCAAAACCTGCAAACAAGCCCTTGAGTCTAAGGACAGTTAGTTAATGTCACACAGTACACTCTGAGAGGAAAATCCTATCCATCAACTGAAATTACATGATTAAAAGTTTGAGTCAAGCCCATCAAATTACCAGCAAGAGAAGGCCACGTGAGCAAGCAGAGCGGGGCTCTCACCACACATCACATCTAACTCATCTACATCTGACAAGTTTCCGCCCTGACAGGATAAACAGATTAATAAATCTCCGAAATGCCCTGTCTTAATGCCTTCATCTTCAAAACCACAGGCACCATTTTGTGGGAGGGCCAAGTTCCCATTTTTCACTCACATGACAGAATCCAAATTGGGCCTCCGGTGACGTGCCTGCATGGAGGGGCTGCGGCCCTGCGTTCCCAGCTGCACTGCCACTCGACCTCCCCTCAGTGACACGCAGCGCTCCGTCCCAAGCAGCAGCCAAGGCTGGGCAACCAGGCCAGGGAACAGAGGGGCAGAAACTAAGCGAGGCCCTTCCGGAGAACTTTTTTAACTAAACCTTTAGTAGGCTATCTTCAGGAAAGCAAGTGATTCACAAATACTTCCCACCGCTTCAACCTGCCCCTTGCAGCTCAAGACGGCTTCCCGGACATGACCCGTCCCGCGACTGAATGCTCCAAGCACGGTGGACTCTGCCAAGCCCAACTGTCCACTGGGAAAAGCAAACTCTCCAATTCCAGGGGCTCCCCCTCATCTGGGTGGAGCCCATCCTTATCCACACAAACCACCACCACCATGGGCACAGCCCCCCACCGAAAGAATTATCCGGCCCAAAAGGCCAGGGGGACCAAGGCTGAGAAAGCCTCATCTAGGGTGACAATGTAAACTTCAACCTGGGCTGAAACGACCACACGCCACCTTATCCACCTTGGCGTGTCCAGCTCCTAAACAGAGCCCGGCCCGGAGCGGACACCCAGCCAGTGTTTGCTGAATAAGCACCTCCTGCTTACTGGGTGACTGTGTGGGAAAAACATACTACTTAATACTCACATGACCCTTAAGAGATGCGCAGTTATTCCTCTTGCACAGAAGAGTGAATCCCGAGTCAAGAGTTTAAACTCATGGCCTGAAAACCCACAGGAATAAGTGACAGAGCAGGACTTTCACCCATCTCCATCTTATATCAAACCCTACACCCACAGCCAACACCAGTCCCACACCAGCCAAAGAACAATTCCTTGTTACTCAGAAAAATAAGTGAGCAAACCCAGTTACAACTTGCAGCAAAATACCCCCCCGTACACTGTCAGGAACACACAACACACGCTGACAGGCTGAAAGCTTTGTATTGTCCCCTAACGGCAGGCAGTTAAATCCCACCACTGGACACATCATGGAGAGGTTATCAGTCCTCCTTCTAGAAACCATTTCTATCATCCCCATTTCTGGCTCAGAGTCCCCGGCAGTGGCTTCTGTTGAGCTGGAGAGGAAAACGGCCCTTGCTCAGAGGGACATGGCAGGGCAGACGGACTCTCTCCCGGATTTCCTGCCTCTGCCGCCTGTGATCACACCTAGGGCAGCACAAAGATGGCGTGACAGGCGGTGCAGAGGGCAGGGACTGCTCAGGTCATCTGGAGGACTTCCCGGAGTTGCCTGGGGTGACACTGATGCTCTTTCCAGCACCCACCTTTCAAGGGGAAATTACATCACCCTCACTAACGAGGAAGGGCATTCGAGTTGGTATGTCACAGCTTCCAGGAAGTGGAAGCAACCCAATTACCTGTGTCATAGGCAGGGCAGCTGACGTACCTGTTACCTTAGCAACACCTGAGCTGAGGTGAGCTCTCGGAGGAATTTGGCTGTCTGTGGAGAACCACTAGGGTTCCTGCCCAGCCGCTCTCATATAATAAAGCAGGAAAAATGAGCCTGTCCCCGAAAGGCTGGGCAGGGCTCATTGAGGAGAAAATTTAAGGGAGAATCATGTCCATCTCAGGAAGAAAATGTGGAAACTGCACGGCACTTTGGCCTTCCACATTATTTTTTAAAAGGTCCTTTTTGAGAGGTTGACTGAATCAGGAGCCGTCTCCGTGGGGGTGAAGGGCAGTGCCTCCCCACAAGTGGAGGTCTGTCTGCAAGGAGAGCCCAGAGCTCACTCTGAGAACGGCCTGGGGCTGGTCATCTGGGCCCCGCCAGCAGAGCCTGGGAGGCTGAAGCCAAGGGAACCCGAGCCTGGGGCCAGGAATTCATCATTCACAGAAAAGCACCCAGCTCAGGTTCAGAGAAAGACTTCTGTTTTTGAAAGTCTTTTCTCAGGGCCTTGTTGGCAAAGTAATGAAATAGCAACTTCTTTCAGGGCTGTGCATTACACCGACAGCTCAATAAAAACCCAGAGCACACGAGGACGGTTTATTCATCCGCGTTTAGCTGGACAACCACACAGAATCCAAACGGGGCCCCCTGCTCCTGGCAGCCAGCCACCTCACACCAGCTCACCCCCAAGCCACTGCCGATGGGCAAAGCCAGGGGAATACAGGCAATGGGTAAAGTCAGAAAGCGCCCGCCACCACATTTCCGAGTCACCTCTGCAGAGGGCAAACTGTACTTGTTTCCACACGTGTGTAGGCAGAGCAGCACCCAGCATGACGCAGTCACCAGGGAGAGCTCCACCCTGTGACAGCAGGTGTACGTGACACACACGCGCACACACAGTGAGAGGTTACTCCTGAGCTAACTGGACTTGAACGAAACCCATTTTTCTGTATTCTGACCGTCAAGGAGACGAGAGGGAAGAGCCGGGCGTGGAGGATACAGCTGCAGACTCCAAGGGCAGCGGGACTCGTTCCTGGGGCTTCACTGGCCTCTGCTGCTCGCCGAGGGCATAGCAGCCGGAACACAGCAACCGCCCTGAGGGAGCCCGGCTCTGCCACTGGTCGCCTCCCAGCAGAAAGGCTCTGTTCACCCCACACTGACCTGGATGCACAGTCCACCTCAGCAACTCCAAGACTGAAGGGTACAGATTTTTCCGGAAACTTTAAGGACGGTGGTCCTCTCTAACCCACTGTCCTGTCCCCGCACCCAGCTCAGCAGGAGACAAAGGAGGGTGGTGAGGCCGAGCTGGGGCGGCGCTCGGCTCCCTCACTTCGGTTTTCCTAACTCAGCCCAGAGCTGCACGCTCAGGGCCCCACACAGCTTCCAGGAGGCAGCGACAGCGTGCGCGGCACAGACGCCTCCCGGGCACGGGTGCCAAAGCCGGGACAGTCCAGAGGAGGAGCGTCACTCACGGCTTCCTTACAACGTGCTGCTGTTCCGCAGGGATCACCAGAGCCGAGCGAACCAGGGCAGACGGCAGGCCCTCCGCTCACGGCCTACAGGCCGTGACTGCCATGGTGACAAGGACTGGCCCCAGCCACTGTGAGAGGAAGGACACAGAGAGGGGCAAAGCACCCCTGTGCTGAGTACAGAGCACAGTCCCATCCTGCAACACCCCCCAAGCGGACACTGCAGGCACCTCTGACACACGGGGTCAGAAGGCGGCCTCGGACATCACTGCAGTCACAGCCCAGGCCATGGGACCAGCCTAACCGGGCCAACCACTCACGCTACACGCACGACCCCGTGACCTGCTGGATTACTCTAAGGAGGGGACATAATAATACTGACCTCCAGAGGACAATGCTGAGGACAAAATGACATAAATGTACTTGCGAGCCAATGCCTGGCCTGCGGTAACTCCCCAATGGAGGACAGCCATGTTACCACCTTCATTAGTCACTAATTGTCACAATGCCGGGCTTCCTTGGGCCTGACTGTACACACAAGAAAGAGCCAAACAGCTGGCCTGAGAAGGCCCCAGGAGGCCACCCCAAAGGCAGCAGAGGCTGAGCTCAGGCGGGATTACCTGTGACATCAAGGCCATGCCGCTCCTGACAAAGGCGACATACAGCCTGTGCTGAGACAGCGCTGTAAGGAGCTGCCCACCCGCACATGCGGCTTATGACACAAACCTTTCTCTCTGATGCGACTGACCAGAGACCGCTAAGAGGCATTTGCACAAGCTGTCTGACAACCTTAGTATCAGACACATTTTTAGTGCCCAGGACACACACTTTCCCGCGGCTTAATCTTCCCGACCTCTGGGGGGCATTATCTCCGCCTCCTCCCACATTAAGTTAGGGCACCGTCAGCATCAACCCACGCCAGCCACTCAGCTCTCACCCGGGCAGACGGCCAAATGCAGAGGGCAGCACTGCTCAGCCAGCGCCCCACAGCTTCAGGACTGGGCCAGGACAGTCCCCAGCACGCAGCGGCCCCCTGGGCTGTGCTTAGGCCCAGCGCCGTCTCCAAGGATGGCGAGGGTCCTCACCGCCTCTGTTACTTGCTGTGCTGTCACAATACCAGACTTCCGTGGGCCTCACGCTGAACTCACGAGAAAGAAATCGGCACGGCATGGGCCTCTCCACACCTGTGACCATCACCCGCAGGGCTGAAACCATGCAGACCCAGTGTGTCAGGACGCCCCCACCAGCGCCCCGCCTCCTCTCCCGTGACCTGCCACCTTCGCCTGCGTAAGGCTGTCTGCTCTTTCCTCTCGGCTTAGATGTCAGCTCCACGGGCAGGCCCCACTCATCCCCTTCCTGAAGCAGGTCCCCGGCCGTCTCTGGGACAGCAGCGTACTGGTCTCCTTCCGAGGATGTATCACAACCGGCAGTTACTCTGTTACTGCTTTTTAGTGTCGCCCCTCAACGGACCACAAGTCCTGTGTGGTGAGCACCACGCCCAGGTCACCCACCAGCAGCACCCGGCGCCTGGCCCAGTGCCTGGCAGACAGCAGGCCCAGAATAAACGCTTGTGGGTCTGGTGCAGCCGAAGAGGATGGAAAACGCCCATCTGCAGGGTGGCCAGACACAGGGCTCCGTGGGCCAAATCCTGCTATGGACCAGTGCCAATGCAACGGCACCGTCTGGAGGCAGAAGCATGGGTTTCGGTCCACACTCTGCCACCTGCTACCTGGGCAGCTCACTTTACTTCTAAGTCTCAATTTGCTCATCTTGAAAGAAAAGATACTAAAGGATGGGGGAGGAAAAATGGGGCAAACGAATGAGATCAATAATTTCCTAACTTTGTTCCAAGCACCCCAAGGTTCCTGGACGGTAACAAGACCCCAAGCGCTCCCCCACCACACACCGCTCCCACCAGAGCCTTGAACTCTCATCCGTTTAGGATGCTTGGCTTCCACGCAAGATTGCTTGGCAATGCAGCGCCCACCCTAAGACCAGCTTTGCGATGACTGGGTCTGCTGCCCAGTGGCATTCCTAGGGTCTGAGGTGCACTGGTCGTGTCCCCAGGTCAGGGTGTCCCCGGCACGCCCCAGGGCCCCGCACAGATGCTCTCCAGCGTCATGCCCACCTCATTAAAGATGATCCTAGACGGCTGCCTCGGGAGAGGCTCCACGGGCCTCACCATGGTCTTCCACGTCCTCCCGAAGAAGTGACGGTAGGTGACATCAAAGAGAGAGACACGAAGATGGCACCCCACCTCCGAGAGCACTTCCAGCACGCCCTAGGAGACAGAAGGGGTCAGCCCTGAAGGGTTCTCAATGTTACAAGCCGTCCCTTCAGGTGCTGAAGGGCCGTCCTGGTAAAATGGCCACGCAGTACCCATCCCCCTGTCCAGGTATCAATTTCCTTTCCGGGCACTACCTCTCACGACACTCAAGTCCCCCAGCACAGACACAGGCTTAAGGCTCACCCAGAGCCAAGGAGACACAGGAGGCTGGGGCTGCAGAGACAGATGCATCTGACACCATGCGGAGCCAAGAGGGAAGTCCACGAGAGCGCACCTGAGAGCCTGGATCAAGCCACACCTGAAGCTTATCCTATGGGTTTGTCTGTGACGTGAGTTAAATTACCTCTAGCTTAAACTATTTTGGATGGGGTTTTTTATCATGTGCCACCAAATGAATCCTTCCTGATATAACCACAAACTCTAAATCCTCAGCTTGCTAGAATTATTTTGGGGTGGTATTAGCAAAGGAACATCTCTGAGGACTGAGCAGTCGTGGCTACAAATATAGCAAAGTAAATAGAGACTCTAGAGACATGCCCTTGGGGTGGCCAGTTAGCTCAGGTGGTTAGAGCGCAGGCTCATAACACCAAGGTTGCCGGTTCAATCCCCACATGGGCCACTGAGCTGCGCCCTCCACAACTGGATTAAAGACAACTACTTGACTTGGAGCTGATGGGTCCTGGAAAAACACACTGTTCCCCAATAAAATTTCTTTAAAAATAAAAGATTAAAAAAAAAAAAGACACGCCCTTGTCCCAGAGCTGCACAGCTGCAGTGAGGTTTTGCCTTGGTCCTTGGCGCTTTTGCTTTTGGTGCAACCAGCAGTAAATTTATTGGCACATAAGTTATTCATAACATTCAATGACTATATTTTTCCTGTCTGTAGGATATGGAATGATGCTCTTTGTTTCCTTCCTAATATTGGTAATCTGTATTTTCCCTTTTCTTGTGATCAATCTTGCTAGGAGGTTATCAATATTATTAATCTTTTCAAAAAACCAACTTCCAGCTTTTCTCTATTATTTGCCCTTTACTTTATTGATTTCTGCCCATATATTTACTACTTCCTTCTTCTATTTTCTTTGGGTTTTATTTGTTCCTCTTAAGGAGGAAGCAGAGGTCATTAATTTTATACCTTTTTTCTTTTCAATTACAGTCATATAAAGCTATAAGTTTTCCTCAAAGGACTGCATTAGCTGCATCCCATAAATTTTGATATGTTCTTCCACTACTCAGTTCAAATTATTTTATAATTTCTCTATTAATTTTTTTGACCCATGGGCCAGTTAGCAGTGTGTTAATTTCATACTATTTAAATATTTTCTAGCTATCTTATTGTTATTGATTTCTAATTTACTAACATGTTAGTCAATGAACATACTCTTTATAAATTTCAATCCTTTCAAATTTATTGAGCTTTATTTCTGTGGTCTATCTCAGGGATTGTTCCACTTGCACTTGAGAAGAATGTGTCTTCTATTTGTTGGGTATAGTGTTTTAGAGATGACAGTTAGGTCTTAAGGTGGTTGGTGATGGTGTTCAGATCTTCCAAATCCTTGTGATGTTTTTGTCCATTTATTGAGAGAAGAGAGTTAAAAGTTTCCCATTATGATGGTGATCTGAATGTAGTTCCCTTTCGTGCTACACACTTTTGCTTCATGTATCTGGAAGCCATGTTATTGGGTGCTGCGCACAAGACTTATCACAGCAGGCCTGTCATGTTCTGAAAGGCTGGCTCCGAAGGCTGGCCCTTGGCTAGAGTCTGGGAACTTGGATTTCAGGAGGGTTCTCAGCACCCTAACTGATAAGCATGGCTCACTGTGATAAGTCATTTGTACAAGCAGTTTATGCCGAACACCTGCCTCCCTTCTAGGAACCTGGAATTTTGGTATGTACTAGGCAGAAGGTGCCTACATGACCAATCTCCCCAAAAAAGCCCAAGGTTTTTTTTTCTTAGAGGCCCTGGGCACTGAGGCTCTAACGAGCTCCCTTGGTTGGCAGCGTTTCACACGTGTAGTCACAGCTCATTGCTGGGGAGCTAAGCGCATCCTGTGGGACCCCACTGGCAGAGGACTTGTGCCCTTTGCCTCCAGGCTACTGCACGGGTGTCTTTCCCTCGGCTGATCTTGCTCTGTATGTACCCTGTCGCCATAATAAGTCTTTCCTGTGAAGATGGGTATATGCTGAGTCATGTTGAGTGCTCCCAGCAAATCACCCAAACTGGGGGTGGCCTTGGGGACCGCAACGCAGGTGCGTACACATTTAGGGCTGTCATGTCTTCCAGCTTAGATCGTCATTATGAAATGCCCCTTTATCTCTGGTAATGCTCTTCACCTTGAAGTCTATTTCGTCTGATATTAGTCCAGCCACAAAGCTTCCTTATGCCCAGTGTTTACACGGCATTATCTTCCTTCCATCCTTTTACTTCCATGCATATAGCTTACATCTTTATGTTTAAAGTGTGCTTTTTTAGAAGCAACCTATAACTGGGTCTTAAATAACTCTTCATGACTTTGGATCAGGAATTCCACTTGTAGGAATTATTCTACAGATATATGTGTACATGAAAAAAAAATGAAGTAAATGAAGTTATTCACTTCGGGGTGTCTGTAACAGCAAATGACTAGAAAAAGCCTGAATGTTCACCCACAAAGGCCTGGAGAAATAAATGATGGTTCATACATCCAAAAGATTAGAAAGAAGAAGAAATTCTTCATGTAATGACATGAACAATCTATAAAGCATATTAAGAATATTTTTTAAAGCGAGGTAATGCAGGCATATTTATTTGTTGTTATTTCCTTCAAATTTCTGAGAAGTTGTACAAAAACCAGGTAACGCTGGCTGTATCTAGGGTGGGACACTGGGTGCTGGGGACTCTGTGGTACCTTTGTGAATTTTGAGCCATGGGAATTACCTTTCCAAAAATAAATAAATAAACAAAATGGGAAAACACGTTCTCCTTCATAAAATTCCTAGGGACAAGGAGACTGCTGACCACTGTCTTGAATTCCCAGCGGGCAGGGGCCGCTGGAGGCAGTCTCTGTGGGTTGGAATCCCAGCTGCCGGCCAGAGCTGCATCACCCTAGGCGACTCCACGTGTCTCAGATTCGGTCCTCTCTTCTGTGAAATGGGTGGTGAGGTCCCTACTTCTTGTGACGATGAGGTGAATTAGTACAAGTGCCTAGAAGCGAGGCTATAAGAGCAGGAGCCACTGCAGGACCTCACGCAGCGGCTAACGCGCAGCGGCCGCTGTCACAGCAATGGACCTGAGCTGCATGGGAGGTGAGCAGTGCGTTCTTCACACACCCAGCGCCCCAGCACTCGGTGCGCCTGCAGGGTGGCTCTGCCACCGCAGGGGAGGGCCGTGTTGTCCAGCCAAACCCTTTAGGCAGCCACGTGTCCACACCGGCAGGCCTGGGTCTTTCCTGGGCATCCCCACAGGCCACTGGGCCTCACTAGGACACTCCATGGGGTCCTGTGGGCAGTGCAAGTTCCCTGCTGGCTGACGGGACAGATGGGTGCAGAGCCACAGGGCTAGGGCCTGAGTATACCAGAGGCTGTGGTACGCCCAAGCACAGGGCTTCTGCCCAGCTGCCCCGGGCTCTGCCCTGCAGTGCTAACTGCCAGGCCGAAAGCAGGCAGTGCTAAGCCATGCACAAGGCTACCTCTTACAAACAACCTGGTCAGAATACCCCCGGAAATCAGATTACCTGGGTTTTAAAACTGTCCCACTGCAGGTCCTTTACCCAGTGTCAAAAGTGCTGACCAAGTTGCTGAGTCATATATTCTCTTTGCTGATGGGCCACTTTGCCTCCAAACACAGCCAAGGCCCAAGGTAATGGGTACAGTGATGAGACAAATAAATAAGCAAAAATCAATAACCTCCCAGCTAGCTGAGAGCAGCAACAATGTGTGTTTGACAATAAACAGCAAATTTCTTTACCTGCCTAATGAGTGGCCCATCCAGCCTCTTCAGGACACACTGAAACGCCGTCGATTCCTTTAAAGGTTGGCGTGCTCTCTGCGGGTGGGGAGGGACCAGCACGTTTTCATCAAAAACCCTCTGCCAGTCATGCATTCTGCCAATCTGAGGGTCACTTGGGCCTCCAGGATCACCTGTACCATTCATGTTCAAATAAAACGTTATAAGGACCACAGTGCTCAGAGCAATTCTGAAGGTTTCCTCCCTCCCACTGACGCCCAGAGGAACCACCACCCCCGAAACCCACACTCTGCAATCCCACACTCCAAACCCCAGTGCAGCAAACTGGCACCCCCTATCACCTTCCCCTGGTGAACGTGCCTATCTCACCAGAGAACCTCTCTGCCCATCCTCTGCCCATGAGCCAACCAGAGCACGACTGGCCTGGCCTCAGGAACGGGTTTGGGGATAGACACATGCAGGGCTGTTCTGCACAGCTGTGGAGGTGAAGTGCTGTACAAGGGCACCAGGCCTTGGGGACGAGGGCTGTCTTAGAAGGAACTGGGGAGCGTAATCCAGTCAAAGCCAGTGAGATGCGAATCCCAGAGGTTCTGCTGGTTCTGTTGAGAGGGAAATCCTTTCCTACAGCACAAGGAGCAGAGCGGTCATCAGCTGGGAGCTGCCAGGGGCCAGCAGGGGAGCATCGACCTTGAGACACATAAAAAGCAGGCAGAACAAAAACCAGAGCAAGTGCCAGCGGGGCCAGATGTCATCAGGTCGACCCTCAGGCCTGTCGCCCCGACAGTCATGAAATGTGTTACTGCTGAAGCCAGCTGCGCACAGTGTTACAGGCTTCTCGGGGACCTGGCTCACTAAGGGTGTCATCTGCCTCCCAGCCAGGGGTCTAAGCCTTCTCGAGACTCTTTTCAGCTGACACAGAATCTTAAGATCCTGGCTTTGATAAGAGGCCGGATTCTACACTCTAAATGTCAAGCAAGGAGAGAGGGCAGAGGGTTTGGTCTCCTCAGACCGCCGTTTTCTAAATGTGGTCCCCTAGCCCCTGAGATTCCCCAGGTTCTTCAGGAGCTCCACAAGGTCAAAGCTATTTTCCTGATATCCGGATGAAATTTGCCTTTCTCACTGTGTTGACATTTGCACTGATGGAGCAAAGGCAGCGATGGGCGAAGCTGCGGGGGCCTCGGCACACCCCAAGACCACGGCACCCAGCCCTGCTGGTGGTCCTCTGTCCTTCACCACTCACGGCTTCACTTCAGAATGTCCTTGGTGAGACTGTGGAAACTATGAATTTTATTCCATCTCGGCCCTTGAGTATATGTATTTTTAATAATCTGTGATGAACCAGGAAATTAAAAAGAAAAGAAAAAGAAAGAAAGAAGCCTGCTGAGAAATGAAGGGCAGCGGTCATCTCCAGCCAGGTGAGCCCCGCTGTGACGGTGTGGACTGAGAACTGAGCTAGCTGCTTTTGGTCACACCATTTTTACTAAAAAGATCGGCTAAGAAACAAAACACACTTATCCAGATTTGTACTTGACAGATCTCTCTCCAACATGAACAAAATGAGCCTGTCAAAGGAGGACGTGTAATTGTAATAAGAATCAAGCTTTCAGGCAAAAATTAGAATTCAGAAAACCTGTACCCTCCATCCTGAGCCTGGCAGCTTCGTACTTAAAGACGGGCAGTGCTGGTAACGAAAGTCATCTTTTGAAATTGTACAATTAAATGTGTCAATATTTGGAAGACCTGCATAACTCAGAACCAGTATTTCCCAACTGAACAATGTACAGTGATACAAACTCCTGCAGGAGGAAAAAAATGCATCCAAATGCAAGGCAGACCAAAGGACGTCAATGTAACAGAGTGTAATGGAGCACAAAAGGTTCGCTGGCAGGGGCCACGCCCAGCACTGCATGTGTCACTTACAGATGTGATCAGTGTTAAGAACCCTGGAGTGAGGACATTACCCTAGATTATCCAGGTGGGCCTGACATAGTCAGAAGGGTCCTTAGAAGAGAGAGGCAGGAGAGGGTCCAAGGAAAGGTGAGTAAAGATGTGAGGATGAAGGGGCCACGAGCCAATGAATGCAGGCAGCCTCTAGCCACTGGAAAAGGCAGGAAATGGACTGTGCCCTCGAGCCTCTAGAGCAGCGGTTCTCAACCTTCCTAATGCCGCGACCCCTTAATACAGCTCCTCATGTTGTGGTGACCCCCAATCATAAAATTATTTTCGTTGCTACTCTATAACCGTAATTTTGCTACTGTTATGAATCGTAATGTAAGTATCTTTTTGTGTTACGATGGTCTTAGGCGACCCCTGCGAAAGGGTCGTTCAACCCCCAAAGGGGTCGCGACCCACAGGTTGAGAACCGCTGCTCTAGAAGGAGCCAGCCCCGCCCACCCCGACTCCAGCCCACTTGAGGCTGACTTTTGACTTCTGGCCTCCAGAACTGGGAGAGAATAAATGTGTTGTTTTAAGCCCCCCGGTTTGTGGTAATTTGTTACAGAAGCCATGGAACTCATAGAGGTTTCCACAACCTATAAGCAGAAGAGGCCTGACCAACACCCAGCGGGAGAGCCAGCTGCCCAGGACAGCTTCGGGAAGGCTCCAGGGTGAGCCCGAATCCACGTGGCCCGTGCCTCCCTCTGTCATGGCAGCTGCCACCTGTCCTGTACTCATCTGCTCACCGCCATCTGCTTAGGGAAGGGAGCCTCCACTCCTGTGCTTGGCACGGGCTCTTCCATCGGAACTCAATATTCACAAAAGCAAATGGAAGTTTCCATCAAGTTGACTCCCAAGCATTTTTTTCCCCAGAGAAATCTGTTTGCCTGTTGACTTTAAAATTGGCACATTTATTCACACGAAGCGAGCGCCATGAGGGACTGAGACGGCCGTCTGTACCAAGGAAGTCTGTCCTGCCTCGGGAGCACTGGCGGGGCACACCGCGCGCCCTGAGAGCCCTCTGGGAGGAGGCGCACGTTCCCCCGTCCAGGTCCAGGCCTCCTATAACGATGGCCGCTCCAGGCTTTGCTGGCTCGCCCAATTCCTGACCCAGACCCTCTTTCCACGCTTGCCAGTGACTGTGGGGCCTAATACCACACTGAGCCGGTAGGTGTTCCCCCTCACAGGGAGACCAAGGGGACGGCCCCAGGCTGTGCCCGGCGGACACACACTGGGAAGAAGGAACAGCCACCCAAAATCTAAACACTGAGCTGGGCAGGTGGAGGCGGGCAGCAACAGTCTGAGTGGGTGCTGGAGGGACAGGCGACACCTGACACAGGCGCCCGGGGGTGAGCGCCAGGCAGCCGCAGACAGGGGCTGTGACACCCAGAGCTCTCCCTTTTCCCCAAACCCCGCAGAGCAGCTGCCACGCTGCCCCTGCCTCAGCTCCTCGGACACCCGCCCTCCGCCCGCTGGCCAGACACACACACACCTGGGGTAATTCCTACTTGTCCTTCAGGAGTCAGATCAAATGCCACTTCCTCAGGGTGAGCACCCATCCCCCACCAGGAGCGCCGCCACGTGGGATCCTGTCACAGACGTCACTACACACACAGTGCGGTTCCCGTGGTGCTACGTGACTGAGCGGTGTGAGGTCAGGTGGGTCCTCAGTGAACGTCTTTTTATGATTACGTAAATCCTTACATCAGCAGGGGAGGAAGGGAAGGGGGCCCTTTGGGGCTAGATGAACAATAAAGAGAAAACTGGGAGGGTTCCATGCTTTGAGCTCAAGAAAGGGGGACAATGGGCTGGTGGGGGACATGAAGACAGTAAGCCCACTTTTATGGAGCCCCCACTGTGAGCCAGGCACTCACACACACTCTCGTCTTTGCTATTCTGTGCGATACTCGGTGAGACACGCACCATCACTATCCCATTTCACTCAGAGGTTAAAGGGCCAGGCCAAGGTCATACAAGCAGCCATGACGGACCTCAGCGCCATGATAACCATGCCTGCCCCCGCTATCCCACCAAGGCCAGGCGAGGCCAAGGGACGGGAGGCCCAAGGGAGGCGCGAGAGAGCTGCCGAGGGGCCGCGCTGCCCCTCACTCGCCTCTGACTTCTGGAAAGTCTCTTACCCTCCCTGCGTCTCCTTTACACCCACACAACGAGGGGCTGTGAGGTTTCCTTGAGGTCTTAGCTGCCGCAGACCTATCTGGCAAGCATTTACCAAGCACCTGTTCTGTTCCAGAACACACGACAGTGAGGACTGACCGGTGCCCTGTCTTCAAGAATCCAAAGATCCAGTAAGAAAGGCAAGGGGCAAGTGTGAGCAGCAGAGAGGTGACAAGTCTCATCCAGCTTCCTCTCTGGGGGGCTGAACGCGGGGAGGAGGGAAACAGGCGGGAACCAGGAGCTGAAGGGGTAAGCTGGTCGAAGTCTCACGAAAACGTGTCACCAGGGAAAGGGAGGCGCAGGAGCCCTGAGGAGGGACCCGGGCACAGCAACGCTTCCTTTCCAGAAATGAACAAGATCTTCCATGCCTGACACCCAAAAGTTTTGCCGTGCTTTCTGGGGAGTGAGTGGAGGTCTCATTAAGCACGGCCTGTAATTCCCTCACCAAGAAATAGTCTTGGAGTACCTACCACATGCCAGGACCTGGAGAAACCACGCTGACCACAGCAGACGAGCTCCCTGCCCTCATGGAATGTATCTGGAGGAAGGCAGAAAGACAGGATACAAGTCAGCAGGAACAGACATGGTTGTGACCTACGGAAATGGCCGAGAGGAGCGGAGGGTGCCGTGAGCTGTGCTGGAGACCTGGGTGAGAACCCCAGCCGGCTAGCTACCATGACCTAAAGTACTTCTTTTCTAACTACACACGCGTGAGGCTGGACTCGCTTCACATACTTCAACCAGAACTACGTGTTGCAACACTAGGAGTGGATCTGAGAAGACAGCTGTCTTCTACAGAGCCAGGCATTAAAGACACGTGCACAGGTGGGGCCTGGTCTACAGAAAGGAGCCAAGTAGTGAGCTCGGAACCACGCAGGAGGTCAGCTGGCTGGACGGCACAGGCTCAAGGCAGGAGCCCTTCCCGAGCGCCAGAGGCAGGCAACGAACGGGGCAGCCTTCCGCGAGGGTCGGCGAGTCTGGAGATCTTCACGGGCGGCGCCGCTGCGACAAGGCCAGCAGGGCCAGCTGGGGACAGGAACCAACAAGGAACCGGCACCCGGCCCAAGACAGTCACCTAGTAAGGGACAGGCGCCCAGCAGGGGTCCCGCGCAGGAGTCTGGTAAAGGAAGGGCAGTGCGACGCCGAATCGAAGAGAGCCAACGCTGGGATCTCAGCAAAGTCCAGGCTGTTGGCACCGCGCACGCCCTAAGCTAGGGGTTCCACAGGGACGCAGGGTCAAGGGGCAGAGAGCGGAGGTTGAGCCCCAAGACCCGAGGAACTAGAGGCCTGGGCCAAACCAAGTGTCAACACGGGGGGTGAAATGTGACTAATGCGGGCACAGCCCTGCGCCTCGCCTGGCCGCCAGGCCCTGCAGGTACCACGTCCCCGCAGAGAGACGTACGGGGCATCCTTACCCCTAACACGAGAACCCGGCCCGCTCTACTGCCCTCGCGACTCGAAGTCGTGTCCAGCCTCCCCCGCAGCGCCAGCCAACGTGGTTCCGTCCACCGCAAGCGGCGTTACCTAGGAGACGGGCCCATCGCGCCCGCGCCTACCCTGGATCTACGAGGCCCACGCTTTCGAAGGGGTGCCCCACGACGGACCCAGAGCCCCGGTGGCTGACCGATGCCTACCGGAGCCGCAGGGCTCGCGGACCAAGGACCGGCTAAAGGGAGACCCGGCTGCTGCCACCCCAGGAGGAGCCTCGCAAGGCGGCGCACCGCGCGCTTGGGCCGAGATCCCACCCCACGTCACCGTCGTCGGCAGGGCCAGGGGACCAATCAGAGCCCAAGTCAAGGGGCTCCGCTCCGCCAGTACCAGCCAATCAGCGCGGCGGCGGGCCCGTCTTGATTTGCATGCCCGGCGGCCCCCTCAGCCAATGGAAATATGATTGGCATGAAGACCAGCCAATGATAACCTAGAAGAGGCGTGGCCCCGGGTGTCCCACGAGGTGAAGATGCAGCGGGCGGAACCTGGCCGAGCGAGCGGGATTCGGGGGCGCTAAAGTCGCTGGGGTAGGGCGGGAAGGAAGATCCGGAGCAGGACATAGGATCCGGAGCTGGAGCCCCCAGGTGAGTGCAGGGGGAGACCCCGGCGGACCGTGCTGTCCACTGCGGTGCACTGGGAGAGCGGCGGCGGGGACCCGCGAGGCCGGTGCTGATTCCCCATCTCCTCTTCCCCAGCGCATCTCCGCGCCCGCCTCCGTCCTCACCTCCTCTCCAGCCGGCTGGCTCACCTCCTTCCCCATCATCTCCCTTCCCCCAACCCGTCCTCCTTCGCCTGCCCTATCTATCTGCGTTCCGCCCGACCCCTGCCCCAAACTTCATACCTCCCCTTGTCCTTGTGCCTGTCTGCCCGGCCTCAACCCCCTGCGCTCCCCGCAGCCTCTCCTCCTTCTGCCCCTATGCCCTCTCCCCATCCCGTCTCCTGGCCTCTGCGCAGCCCCCCTCGGAGAGCTGCTGGTCCCGGTTCTCCCCATTTCTACTCCTTTTCGCTCCTGAAGGCTCGCCCTGCCTCTCCCTCCTGGTCCCCGTCCCCATCCTCTCACCCATTCGGCTCCCAGTTCCTCCCGTCACTCTCTGCGGGCGCGCTCTCCACCCTGCCCTACTCCCCAGGACCGTGGCACTCCGTCCCCACACCCCCTACCCGCACCCCCGTGCCCCTCCCCATCTTCTGCTTCTCTCCTTTTCCCACCGCCCTGCCTGCTGCTGCTCCCACAGAACGCAGAGACCCGGTGGTTGCCCGGCTGTCTGCTGCAGTAGCAGCAACCGATGTACTTGCCCACCTTCCCACCCAGGTGCACCAGGCTCCACTCCTCCTGGCATTGGTCCTGGAGGCTCCTGTGGGGGCTGTTTGCCTAGAGCATCCTGGGGGGCAAAGGGGGGCTCCAGGTGGGAAGTCCCTTAGCACCCTTTCCTGCCTTGCCCCCTGGCCACCATCTCCCTCCCCACTCCACCCCCACTTTCCTGCTCAGCCTCACTTTGTGATTCAGCATTTTTGGGGTTGGTAACTTTCTTTGCTTCCTGGTATGATAGGGACCAGGCTGTGGGGCTGAAGGCAGGGAGGCTTGATCCTGCGGTTAGTAGGTCCACCTAAGGAAACGGGACAAGAGCTGCCGGGTGGGGAACAGGGTGGAGAGTGGGGACCTGCTAGTAGGCTGCCTCTTCTCCCCTTTCATTTGTCTGCTCTATGTTGAACCACTTCCAGGGGGAGATGACATAAGTAATAGCTCTTGGGGAAATGGGCTATTAGCATTTATGGAAATTAATACATCCACATCCGAGGAGCAGGAACACCAAGTTCAGGCCACAGCTGTCCCACTGTCTGCTGTCTCAGGGTTTCTTCTTTCTCTGCAACTTGTCCTCCCCCTCAGAACAACGCCAGCCCCCTTCCAATGCCAAAAGCAAGCCCCAGCTCCACTAAGACAACCGCATTGAGGCCCCGTGTTGCAGGGTTTGGGGACCTGCGTGCGGAGAGTCCCATCTGCCCTCCTGATGGTTGCTTGGCAAACGCGTTTACCTGCAAAGCACAGGCTCACATGCAGTTCCTCAGCTCCTGCCCCCTGAGCCCTCGCAGTGGTGGCCCCAGAGGGCATTGGCTCCCCAGGTCACGTCCATAGGGATGTTCTTCAAGCCCACACCCGGCCTCAATGACACTGAGGGTGTCCCTGCTGGAGGCTTCCTATACAAAGCCCAGGTCTAGCTCCTTGTGCGTCCCTCTGCTCTGCTGGCCCACAGGCACTGTGGGCACGGCTCAGTGCCTGGGGACTGAGCCAGGCCATGGGGTGGGGGTGGGGGGCAAAAAGTGTGGAACCTGGTCTCAAGCTCAAAACCCTTTTGAGTCTGGATGTGGAGCCTGGGTGGGAAGAAACGGGCACAGAAGTGATTGCACACTGGAGGTGTGGCAAGATGAGACACCCCTTCTTGCCTGAAGGGTCACAAGCTGTGGGCACAGAGGCGCTGAGGGACAGCAAGCTCTGGGTGGGGCTTTGTACCATGGGGTTTTCTCTCTTTGCTTTCCTTTTTCAATGATCTTCTAAACCCCAAATGATTCAGGAGGAAGTGAGAGTTTTGATTTGGCAGTTTCTGGGAGGGGCCGGCAGGGAGGGGCCTCCTCTGGACTTGCCTATGTGTTGGAGCTGGGTCTGTGGCAACAGGGCAGCAGGCGTGTGGCGAAGGACGGCCCTGCTGTTAGAACATCAGGGAAAGGGTTTCATTTGTGGAGACTCTGGCTGGAAGCAGTGTGTCTTCAGTCCTTGACTAAATTCTCAGTGACCTTCATGTCACCAAAGGTCCCAGAGCCAGAGCAGTGTCCTGGGGTCCCCGAATAACAGGGCAGAACAGCGGCAGCTGCAGGAGTATTCAGGAAGGACTGCCTCTGAGAGTTGTTAGGGCCAGAGACCCCACGCCTCTCTCCACCCCCCACTCAGCAGCCAGGGGGCTCGCCTCATAGAGCTAAAAGGGTCTTGGTCACCTGCCCCCTCAGAGGAGTCATCAGAAGCCTTGACTTCTCCAAGGTCACTCAGAGGCAGGGGTGGGGCTGGGGTAGACCCCTCCCTTCCGACTAGTTGGAGCCCAGGTCACGTTGGCCCTCCCTCTTGGAGGATTCCAGCCAATCCCTATGGACATGCCCAACCTTGGCTGCCCTTTGGGAAGGCCACTTTGGAGGTGTTGCTGACATGTGTGGAGAAAACCAGAGCCCTGGGGTGCGTCTGAGTCTCTGGGGGGCTGTTGGGAGCAGGAGCCACCAACCACAGAGAATTCTGGCAACGCCATCCTACCCAGCCTGGGAGGCCCCCAGAGCGAGGTCACTTGTTCCAAGAAGTCCGAGAGATGGCAGGGCCCAGGCCGCCGAGCGGGATGAAGGGGAGAAGGGACTCTGTCCATGTTGGACCTGTGCTTTCAACCTGGCTTCGAAGTGGGTCGTGTAAATAACGTTGCGAGGTAGGCTGGGAGGGGAAACTGAGGCACAGAGGAGCGGAAAGACCGACCCCACCTCCTGGCTCTTGAAGAAACCTTGATTCTGTTCCTGCTGTATCTGGACTCTGAGGCAGGCACCCCTTCTTCGTAAATTCTTACCCCACCACCACGGATGTGTCTCCCCAGACACACAGGAGGGTCAGGGTTCAATCCCAGCTCCAGAGGACGCGAAAACCCTCCTTTTTCATGAATGGTAACCCCCAGCACACTCAGCCCCTCACTCACTGCATGCCGCCTTCCTTTGGGGTGACTGTGAAAAGATGTGGTCCTTGGCTCGGCCAGTTCAGGGGAGTAAAAGGCACACGCTGGGCCAGGTGGGAATGTCCCTCACCTGGTCATCCTGTCACTGCTGGGGTAGCTCGAGGTTTTCCGCTCCTCCTGGCCGTGGCAGGTACCAGAGTCTCCCTGCTGGGGGTATGTGAACAAGGCTGCACCTTCTTACCCTCTGCCACATTCATGGGGCTTAGAGAGCCAGGCTCCCTCCTTCCGTATCCAGGGATGAGCTCTGGACCCAGCACCCCCTAGCCTGAGGGTGCCCTGTGCCTGCAAGGGAGCATGGGTATGGGCTTGTGTGTGTCCCTCATCACAGAGCCAGCCCCCCGATTCCTGTGTCGCCCATATCCGTGGCACCTGCCTTCCTGAGTTGCTCCTTGCAGGCAGCCCCTCTCCCTCTCGCTTCAGCACACAGGCACTTGTAGAACCAACTGTCCCAGTGCCATGCTGGGTGCAGATAAAAGAGGACAGGGAAAAGGAAACAGCAGAGGGGATGAGACCATCTCACTCAGCTTCATATCCACGCCACAGACCCTGTTAGCGCATTTTCCCCACCGAGACCTTGAGCCCTGACTTCTCAGCAATTGAGATCCATCATCCAGTGCAAGGCTGGAAGCCAGGTGTACACTTTTCCTTCTCAGATCCTCGTACCAGGTTCGAAGACAAACTAACAACCTGTTCATGATTGGCTGGTTTCCCCAGTAAGCAAGTGACATCTTGGGAGGCGTAAACACCGGGTCTTAGCTACAGGGTCCTCTGTCACTGGCCTGGCCCGTGACCCCTCGTGGGGAGTTAGCTCCCTGAGTCTCTGGCTCTCTCCCTCTCAGCCACTTGGCTCCATTCTTGAATCTTTCTGGATTGGTGAAACGAAGTGACTCAAGTAGACACATAGGGACAGTCCCTGACACATACGGGCACTCAGTAGATATCATTGAGTCTGTGACTTCCATTCATAGACTGAGCCCAAACCATCACTGACCTGGAGCCCAGGTGGCTCCCAGGAAAGCTCAGGCAGAGTGACTTGGTTTCTCTTCTGAATCATTTCATGATCCCGCTCGGAGCTCCGCAGAAGGGGGAACATCTAGGACTGCTTTCCGGGAGGGAGAGTGGAGGCCTGTTGCCATCGGTCTGTAGAGAACAGCCTCCCTGTGAGTGGAGGGACGCACCTCGCCCTGTCCTCCCTCACCTCAGGCCTCCTGGAGGGCCAGGTGAGCCTGCCAGTGCCCCTCTGCACACCTGCCTGTCTGTCCAGCGGCCCCTGGGTACTGAAGGGCCGCAGAGCCCCCCTCTGAGCACGCCCACCCCCCTTCACCACGTGTTTTCATGTTCCATCCCTTGGCAGTTCTATGAACTTTCAGAGCAAACTCCAACCCTGATGTCCACAAGCTGTCAATGCAGCTCAGGGCAGAAGGATCTAGAATTCTTCCAGGGAGCCTTGCCCTCCTGAGTGTTCTGTGGTGGCAGGCCCTCTCTGGAAAGAGTGCTCTTCCCGGCCCTTCTATATAGAGAGGCAGAAATAATTAAAATGCGTGAACGAGGGGCCTCTGATGAATCCATGCATTACAAAATAAATTTGAATGTAAACA